TGGTTTTGTTGCCTATCTGCTTTAAGCCGCATACCGCCGTAAACAGACTTGTGAGTCATCGCCTCTCCCCAATGATAGTCGCTCAAACGACTTGTTTCGTAGTGTATCCGTGTGCATGGTGCAGATTTTAGTGTAAATTTAGGAATTTGGTCATGCTGGCCATTAGGGCTATTTTTGCTTTTCGATTCAACGCAGCTCTAACAGATTTTGACCCAAATTCCTAACATTCGTCTTACTGCTCAGTTCGGATCAAACATTGGAATATTAAACTTCGACACATACTTAACACTTCTAAGCTTTAGATTCTACTGATTGTTTAGTGGCGTGATTTTCACCCTATTTCATTGCATCCGCTATCTTAGTATTGCTGTTTAACGTTTGAAATCGACGGTAGTTTCGCTTGAATTGGCCATACTTAGCGTGCAACGATTCCACGACCTAGAATGAAAGTTATTGGCATAGGCAACAAAATTTACAGAATGTTTGTTGTATACTCCACTTCGCCCAACATTAGCCTATCTGTATCAAAGAAAATTACTTTGATGCACCACTTTCATTGGCTAAACAGTTCATGAGCGAGATTGTAGCTGTTTTTGGTCCAAGTTTGGACTCCTATGTCGTGTTCAAGCCACCACTTCGAAATTTTAACTAAAATAACCACCAAGGCATACTTTCTATGTAATATAAAGGTTTGATAGTAAATGAAGCCAATACCTCAATGACTGGCAATATTCAGACAGCATTGTGGTAGGAAAATATAACAATGGGAATACGTTAATGTGGGTTCTACCTCATTTTCGTTCGTGTTAAGCATTGAATAGGGTCCATCAAATCGTCCATAATGGCTGAAAAAACGCCTCCAAGGGATATTGTGTCGCCGTCAAACCCATCTTCTGACTTGCCGGTTTTGACAACGCCGATGGGTGGGCGCCTCTATAATCCCTTCCACGAAGACTACGTGGCTCGTCTTGATGGAATCACCGTCACTCCCGGTCTCTTTGCCCCTTCTGATAGGTCGGTTGCAAGGACTGAGGCAGTAAAATCCATTCCCTTTTTCTGGTCTCCTGAGATTAAGGGAGACCACTTCCCCACCGAAATTGATGAAAACCTCACTCATCAACTTCAAATGCAGCAGAAGCTGGATGCGGATGTATGTGGGAGTAATGTGTCATCCAATTTGTGCTTCATACTTTGAAAGAATTGTTTGCATTTGGGCTTCTATGGACAATGAATATGTACCACTCAAAACAGTTCCCCTGTTTTCAGCAAACCTAGGGAGGGTACACATAATCCCCATCTTCCCATCTTGGCTTTTAGGTTGAGGAAGCTGCGCAAAGTAAGATAGCAAGTTATTTCCAAAGCAACGTAGTAGCTCCCAGTCCTGATGTGACCATCAAGCCTCTTAAAGGTAATTTGTTGTTTTATCTGTCGTGCACTTCATGCATACCTACAAAATATCCTGCCGAATGCCATTGCACCGTCACTCTTGTTTTTGCCCTCTGCCAACATTTCCGAAATTCTTTAGTCTTGTTTTACCGATTCGGAAGGTAAAAACCACGTGTTTTGTTTTTAGAGCTTTTATCGGGCAAACCCACTCTGCACAGGACATCGTCTCTTAAACCTATATGTAAGAATTTTGAGGATTGGTGAAGGATTATTTTTGGGTGCATGATTATTTGAAATCATGATGTACTTTGCTTATTCTTTTTGCTTTCAAAACCTGATCCGTTATTCGTTTTGCATAAGCACGACCGGCTGTTAACATTGCGAGTGCTCAGTATTCTCTCTTATCACTCACTTGTTCCCTTGCACCTTTAGTATCCACTTTCCAATAGATTTCGTTTGCATAGTACACCTTTATATGTCTCAACCATACTAGGCAATAATGAATACGCAAACCTCAATATTAACAGGCACAAATTTAAAAGGGATTGAATTTGGTATTCTTGCTTACTTTAGTCACTTCGGGTAGCGGGAATGAAGAGCAGGCAGGGCAGAGGACGGTTGTTGTGACGGATGGTAAAATAATAGTCTTACCATTTATCTGCAGTAGTCACTTCTTCCTGCCATAATTTAAAGTTGATAATTCATTCTACTATTCAACCACTGATTGCTTTCACCCAATTATGCAGGTTTTTTTCAAGCTAAGTGTTACTGTGACTTTTCCATTTTTCTCCCACTTACAACATTTGTCTCCAAGCCAATCTCCGCTCACATCGATACTGAAGTATTCCAAATATCGGCTTGCGTTGTTTTATGTAGTGAAAGTTCAAACAAGCATATCTGTGGCTCCGGACACCGATCTTCCTTCCCTTCTGCAGAGGGCCATGGGGCTTGAGGAGAAGGAGAATGTGCTTTGCGGTGGGGAGAGTTCAAGTTTATACCGATATGGAGTTACCTTCTCTGAGGCCAGTGCGGATCATACTGAGGATCCCTATCCGCGTTACCCGAGTGTCATGTACTCATCCTGCCTACGAGAGAATCTACCGAATTACCGGAAACGACGTAGTCTCTTTTCTGAAAGCTTTGATGTGGACACACTAAGGAATGCAACGTGAGTTTATGGTCATATTGGTGTTAAATGATAAATGTGTAGGCGGCCTCTAAGGGAAGTAGAAAAGTTAAGAAGTGAAAATAAAACCCATTCATTCATGTGCCCCTTATGATGCGGAAGATACTGGCTGTTTGATCCCTACGAATAGACTGGTTTCCCCTTCTATCTTTAGAAGTTCCTCTGTTGATGCTCGTAGCGTTCATGATACTCATTTCATTTCGGCTGATGATATGGAAGCTATGGCAGATGACCTCGGTCTACCAGTTAACTGGGCTTCTGAGTCAGTATCCTTGAGCTCTCGCCATCAGTGCAAAAGGAGTCCCGAAGATATTGACAGGTTTAAACAAAGTAGTGCCACCAATCTAACTGGACTTCTAGAACACGCAGGAATCGGTTCATGTAGAACACTCTCTTGCGAACCCCAAAAATCCCATCTTTTTGGGTCTGTAAGTCATTTATTCCCTACCATAAGGACACCATATTACTTCACCGTTAGCCAATGAACGGACTAAAAATCCCACCAGATTTACCTTTCGGTGATCACTGTCATTGCCACCTTTGAATCGAACGCACTTACAGTGCTCCTTGGATAAATTGTACATCATATTTACAAGAATTATCTAAGGATACTTGGTAATATTGCTAGAAGAGATCCTGTACTAATTTTAAACACTTTATGGAGGGTTATTGACGGTGTTGGATCTTGTTAAAAAGCCATCAATTATTTCAATATTTTTAATACTTGAGAGTCATGTCGCTGTTGCAGCACTTTGAATGCTACTTCACTTAAAGCAGTGCTGCTTTAATATGGAGTAACTTCATTTATGGAGCTTACGTTCACGAAAGCGGGTAGTTTCTGGCTGCGCTTTCATCACCAGTCAGTGATGTGGAAGGTGTTAATTTGAAATGCGAAGAGTTGAACCTAGTCTCCACGGGAATTTGTTACCGTTATGTTGTTACAGATGAGTCCTCTAGTGGGCGGCAGGACGAGCCCGGAGGCGCGAGGTCTGCAACGACCCTTGCCCCTCTCTTCCATCATGAACGACGAAGACGATGAGTATGATGGTGGCGATGAGGAGAGTACTCGCGACTCTTGCAAGTCATTCAAGCGCCAATGTGGCCATGGCTCCCGCAAGCGCCGCATGGCGAGTCCCGATCTCTCCCCCATCTACCGCCCTTGCGGCAACCCACTCATGGATCAAGATAGCGACAATTATGTTGACGTTGACGCCCTTCCAGGCACCGTAGCTGCCGCCAACAATGATAGTGAGAGTAATGAAAGTGCTCTTTGAGTTCCTATGTTTAGCTGCTCTGTCATCTGTTCCATGCCTTGCCTTCTCTCTGTGGGTGGTCTCATGGAGGACTTTTGGAAGTCGAAAGCCCGCATCACTAAAAACGCGATGGGCTTATTGTTTCTGAATAACCTTTGACTGTGGGCGGAATTCGAAGAATCGGGATATTGGCTCAAGATATCAGGATATTTAAAGAAAAGGATGTTACGGACATGTGTTGAAACGCCGTCCGATTCTCCACTAAAAGCACCTCTGATTGATCAATCTGAGCTGCATCGTTTTGATTAGAGCTAAGGTCGATCGAGGTCATATATCTAAGCTCTTCAAAGAAGAATATGAGGTAAAACTACATCCTGTTTCCCCAATACCATTATGCCTTCAGACTCAGTTTGGTGCTTTTCACGACTTTGGCTAAAAATAGTTACTAGATCTGGAGTCCTACCTTACTATCATTTAAACAAAAGCCAAAAGTTTCAACAGGGATGGAGCTTAACTTCGCACCAAAGTCTGTCAAATGTTTGAAAAGCAATGAAACTTTAGTTGAAGGCTTAAAAGTCCCACCGATCAGGCTTCGTTAATCATGTCATTTAGGTCATTTGCATAGCACTTTGAAGTTTTAAGTTTTGTCAAAGTAGCGTTCTGGCTTCGAACAACCAATTGAATTTATTAGTTTCCTAAATAAAGTCATTTGGTGGCATGAAATGGGGTATCATAGTCAAGCCTTCTTACAGATCATAGAGGTGAGTTTTCGATTTATTCGAGGTGGGAATGACGCCCAGCGATTGCTGTTGACCCGGATTGTGTATTTGTTTGACAAAGGTAGTAATATTGCGAGCATAATACATTTTTATCGCATGATTTACGAATGCATAATTGTAGTCAGTGCAAAAAGCCTCATTTTCTATACCTTTGAATCGCTGAGCATAAGGAGTAGGCTACATATAAACGTTTATATGCACAATCAAGCCTGACAACCTTGGACGGAGCATGTTGACCTTTGAGTGCTTGCACTGTAGGTCTCAAATTTTATCGAAGTTTTAACGGGCCAAGGTAACGTGCGTAGGAATTGGAGGGTTACAATAATGCCTCCAAGGTCGTTCTGCGAGGCGAAAGCAAAATCTGCATTGTTGAGCCCACAGAAGCGCAATGTTTGTGTGAAGACTACGGCTTAACTGGGTAAAGGTTAACCGTCTGTTAAAGGAGGATTGAGGCGTGAGAACTGGAAAAGAACTGTTTAAGTTGGTTCGTTGACGCTTGCCATTGAACTCGAATGCAGCAATTTGCTGTTGGATTTGGTTTCAATTTTAGACAGACATCGGAGTCTAATGCGCCACCTCGCCCACTCCTGTGCTCGTAATAACTCTTTGGTCAAACTGGACCTATAAGGCTGATTGAACCTTCAGGAATAACGACGATTCTGCAATCATCCAGGCAGCGGTCCTAGCTTTGTATAGAAGTCTCGTTTTAACCGTATTCTGAAAGTGGGTTCTTGACTGACGGGAGATTGTCCAGCCTTTCGGAGTAAGTTAACGAGTTATGAGGAATTGCATTGGCAAAGATCGGAGGAAGTGGCGCATTGGGACCTATTGAACTGCACGGATGAATATTTGACTGTTGTGTGACGCTCCAGTAACTTGCCATATGAACTTTTCTACTTATTTAAATTAGCTTATCAAAAATTTATGTCAAGGGCGATGCAGATTACTAACTCTTGTCCACAAATACTGATGTAAAATGTTTGGTTGTATCCATCGTATAAGGTGGTTGTGGTGTTTAAATCGTAAAGAAGTTTTGTGCCTTTACATTGAACTCGCATACGCGCATCTTGACTTTGTCGTAATTTTGTGGACGGAGATGCGCAAAGAAAACTTTTTATTTTCATGTGCTCATATTACTAGTTAGCTACTGAACTTGGGCCTTCTACGCATGAAAAGACGATGTTAACCCTAAAGGTAGTTTTCGAGATCGTCATTAGGAGCATTTAATGCATCGGAATGCTGTGCAATTCCGAAACTAGCAACTGTTTAAGGTTGTGGTTTTTAAGAAAGGGCAGAGTAAATAAACTGCTGTAGTACATTCAGAGGTAAGTCAACAGCTGAAGTCGGTATTGTTTGTTTGAGGATAAAAATACCGCCATTGAGTGCCACTGGCCAGTAAGAGATGCGTCTTGTGGAAACTGACCAAACCGTAAAAGTGACGTCAATGGGGTTGCAAATTTCACACCAATCGGTGTGCAAGCACCTATCCTCGTTCAACGCATATTAGTTAAAACACTTATTTTGAGTTCAACTAAATCTGTGCATATTCATTAACACTTTTACTATAGAGTGACTAATCTCCGGCTTCCACAATCCGTTTTTGGTGGAATGCCAACAGTGACAGACAGTTTGTACTCAGCATCTCCAAGGCATGTGCGTATAAAGTGCGATAACAGTGTTAGGGCTTACTACGAGGGATGAGCTGCGGTAGATAATTGGCTGCTATTTCTGTGGAGTCAAATGGCATTGGTGCACTATTCGTATTGCTTCCTCTTAATCCTATTTAGGCCGTCCGCGAGCGCTCCGCTGAACAGTTGTATTGGAGGTTTTCTGGCTAGATCACTTCTCTCAGACCGGTGTCTGCCGGGTATTTCTTGAGCCCGTGAGTGTGTGCATGTCAGTGGCAGTAGCGAAAGTGTGTGGGATATTAAGCGCATCGTCTAAGACAACTGTTTTGCATTTCATTTCAGGTGATAAATGACAACACGTTTACGCCGCAGCAGCAGGCTAGGGTTGCATTAATCAGATTAGTGAATTTTTCAATGCAAAAGTTTTACATCCTGTAATCATTGATTGTTTAACAAAATTGTCATTGATGACATTGGTTAACGATGTCACTTCAATCCACACTGTCATAGCCTTAACCAATGGATCGGAACATGTCCACGCAATACATGTGAGCTGTTCAAATGTAGCTCTCGTAGAGGAGGAGGCGTTTCTCTTGTCACTAATGCCGAATGGAGCATCTCACAGTAAAGAAAGCTGGAGAGTAATGAGAAGTCCACATCCTACCTAAACACGATTGAAGGTGGGGATGCAAAAACATTCATTCATATTTAGTAGCGAGGTATTTGGCCATCACTTGTGTTGTAATTATTGGGCTAAAATTGTGGGTCATTGAAAGGCCACGGGTTGCGCTCTTTATTTGGCATCCAACAGATTATTTCAAACGCATCGAACGCTGTAATTTAAAAATCGCGGCACATAAATTGAGAGCAAGTCAATTTGCTTCCTATCAATGGGCGTTTCGACGGTATGAACGCAACGGTTGCTAAAGCTTACGCCTATGAGCTAATGAAATTGAGACGATAGTGTGTGGAGTAGATTGTTCAGGGTCTCCGTCCTGTCTTTTATGTGGCCCAAAAAAACGTTATGTGTCACCAAATCGATGACGAGGTCATTAGCCAATGGTTTTGATCGGTCAAGGACTATTTTAAAATTCGAAAAAAGGGAATGTTAAAATTCTCTCTAAATTTTCGGGATCAACAGAATTCAAATCCGAGGGCTATCGTGTATTTTTATGTTGACAGATAAAGTAGAGGAATGGTGGTGTTCAAAGCGTTACCAACAGCATGGTAAATTAGGTTAATTAAAGCACCTTTATTTTTGGCTTTCATAAAAGTCCCATTAGCAGAGGCAAACACAGAATGCTGACAAGCATACAGGTCTGGTTCTGCGACGAGCGCACACAAAACAGCATGAATACGATTTGGCATCAGCTAAAGGCAAGCGTTGGGAGAGTATGAGCACAACGAAAACGTTAGCAGAATAAATTAAGCGCAATTGTTAAGATGGCTTGAGTTGACTCGCTTATCTGTGTATGAAAGATACCATATCAGTAAATCCTATGCAAAAATGCCTCGAAGCTGATATGCTCGTTTTTATGACAGCGAGGGCAGAACTCCTCGTACATCAGGGCAATTAGGTTAATTATTATTACAACAGGTTGGCATGATAT